GACGAGCCTCTTTGGCTTCACCAAACAGAGCGGCGTTTCCTGAGGAGGCACTTCGTGGCAGGAGTTCGTCCTGATCGGGTCTTCGGCTTCCAGGCAGAGCCTCTTCGGCGACGGCAGAGTTTCGTAACAGCAGGAAAGCGTGCAGTGCTGTCTCTTAAACGCAGGGGACAATTCCTCCGAGTGCTCGGGAGCCGAGGCGATCTCCGAGGAATATTCTCGAGGCGAATAACAGTACAGTCTGGTGTGCGAGTTGGAGTAGCAAGATCCTCTTAAGGAGGTTTCCTGGTAGCACGAAGCGACCGGTGTTACGACGTGGCCGTCCATACAACAGGCGAGATTGCAAGAAACGACGGGCTCGTTCTCGGAAGATACATCGACCGCGGCTGGATGCTGGTAGTACGGAAAATGGTGCGAAGAGGAGGAACCAACGTCGCAACAGTAAAGAGGCGGAGGCGATCGCTCGAACTCGATTTCAATTCGATCCTGCGATAAGCTCGAAACGTAGTTCGACGTCCTCAGATCTACCGGTGAGTCACCGGAAGCGGCATCCTGGATAGGGCCGAGCCGTTGTCTGGAGTTTCCACGGAGGGCGATCTCGCCTCGCAGTTCCGTCTCCTGCCCGAGCCACTTCTGTACCTGACGACGGTTTATGCCAAATTTCCTGGCGGTGGCACGTTGATTGCCCGCCACGCCGACGTCTCGATGAAAAGCGTCGAGGACGTCCAATTTGAATCGAAGGGAGAAAGATCGTCGACGAGCGAGGTCGTTGGATGAATTGTGGCCGCCGGAAGAGCAGTCGAGAGGGTCCATCTCGCTGTCGGAGCAACTTGTGCTTGATCTACCGGAGCTGACTGGTTCCTGAGGGCTCGAGGGTAAAGAATACCCTTCTCGATCGTGTACGGGGCTTATCGGACAGGAGTCGACGAGTGTCGAGGTAGCGGCAGGTGGTCGTTGGTAATCGACGTACGAAGACGCGACAACGGCTTCTCTTCCTTCTTCCACGATCGGTGCTGCGACATCCTCCTCCAGCTGGATCTCTTCCTTGACCATCGCTCTACCGATTTCCGGTTCTTCAGCGATGTTCTCCGTTTCCTTCTCTGCGTGGATACGAACCGCGGTGGTCGTCGTTTCCCTGGACTCTCTCTGATGTTGCTGCTGCGCCGATCGGTGGTGCAGGGACGGGATCGGCTTCTCGGAATCCAACGTTGGTGACGCGTGTGCGTGTGCGTGTTCATGGACGTGCACGTGCAAGCATGGACTCGCGGAGGCCCGTGGGGAATCCAAGTGAACGGACGTGGTGGAGCTGGAGCTAGAGTTGGAACCGGTGCCGTTGGCTGGATACGAAATGGGCGAGAGAGGGATCCTCGAGACACCGGGGGAACTCGTCGACTCGCACGGCCCTGGCGTCGCCGCCGAGTCTGGGCTCGCTCGTTCCGTCTTTATCATCGACGGCGCTAGCAGCGATCCGTACGACGGCGGTGACGATGATTTCCCGTCCATCGACGACGACGAATCCACGTCCCCGTAATTTTGCTGAGATCGATGATGATGATGATGAGTAGCACTAGGTGTCGAAGAACGATGTCGATGTAACGACGATGTGGCGATCGCAATCTCGTTGCTAGCCTCGTTACCACCGTATCGGTGGTGTTCCTGATGAACAGGTACTCGATACGCCGTCAGAGTCTGATACACTTTCGCTTCGTTTCGACCGTCGATAGAATTTTCGTGTTCTCGTTGGCCGTCCGAATTTAGAACGTAGTAGGTGGATTCCTGATCTGCGCGTGTCTCTGAGTAACCGTGAACGTCCACCGTTACCTGTACTCGATCCTCCGTTTCCCGACAAGAATGATGCTGCTCGGAATTGCTGCCGGAATATTCTTGATATCCGAGACGAACGGGCAAAACCGGCGCCGTCGCCGTTCCAGATTGGGAAGCATATTGGGGCGAAGAGGGTGAACCACCATGAGGAGGATGAGAAAGAAGAGGTGGGGGCCCTTGCTGTGTAGCCAGCTCGTCGCCGTGCAGTCTGGCGAGGCTGAGGTTCAAGGCCGGCGCTGCTGGAGTCACGGCAGGCCCCGTGGCTTCCGTCACGGTACCGTCCGGCTTGGAAACACCCACGGGAGAGATCGCCGTTGTCGAGACCACTCCACCACTGGTATTTCCAGTCTCGGCACAACTGTTTCTCAAATTATCCTCGCACTGCAGCCATTTCTGTATTTGGCGTCGATGAATCCCGTACTTCCTCGCGGTGGCACGCTGATTTCCACGACAGTCGATGTCGTTTCTGTACGAATCGAGAACCTTGAGCTTGAAGGCCGGAGCAAATATCCGTCTGCTTCCCATCACACCGACCGATTTCCTCGCATTCTGTTGCTGCTGATGTTGATGCACTGATTGCTGTTGTTGCTGTTTTTGATGCACCATTTTCACTGCTGTGTTTCCCTCACCGAGCACTTCGCTTACTCCATGAGCCATAACGCGTGTTATATTTCACGAACCGAACTCCTTCGCAGCGTGACGATGTCCGTCACGTCGAACACGAGAACGAGAACACGACGATGAGCTTCGAAACCGGGCACTGCCAACGACGCACGGGGGTACCTTAACGCGTAACATTGCACGAAGTGGCCTGGCCGCGCCGCGCACGGAGTTCCTTTTAGGTCTTGGTAGATGCCGTAACTAATTTTCATCCCCACCACCGGCGACGAATGCGGCTGCTTCCCAACGAAACGATCTTTCCCTTCCCCTCCCTCGTCCCAAGCTCGCGCTCTCGCTCGCTCACCTCTTGCCGCGCGTCTCCCTTCTCATTGCCGCACTCTCGGTCTCTCACCGTACTACCCCCACTCCCGCATCGACCGTACTCTCGGGCTTTCTCTCTCTTCCCTACCACCGATCCATTCTCTGTCCTTTACTCTCCGTATTCAGTAAGCGCCCCTCGACGTCCCGCATCCCACTCGAGTAGCACAGGCGCTAGTCCACCGCCGTCGGCCACCAGT